CTCCTCCTCCTCCTCCTTCTCCGTCCATACAATTTCAATTGCACAGTAAAAATAGCCCTTCTAATGTAAACTGGTGGTTGCCTACGGATGTTGGCCAGTGTGAGCTGAAATGATTGCAATAGTAAGCCGTCTATCTCGTTAGCGGAGGTGTTGTAACCATCTATATTGCTAGACACGGGAACGGGAACTCCACTCCCCCGTAATATAGGCGACCCCCCTCGAAATAACACGAAGAGCACTTATTCTCGTGTCCCACCCCTTGTCAACGCTTTCAGCCATTATAGGATGACAAACTTCAAGGTATAAACACCAACACCAAATTCTGTTTCCTGTTAACGATGGTTTATTTTTTCAACATCAAAGGAGTCGTTCGCGTCGGATTTGTTTCTCATGGCAGGCTCAGCTGCTGCTCGAGGCTCAAGTGTCCCAAAGTCTGTGGTTGGCTGAAGACGTCTACGAAGTCAGAAACGGTCGCCCCGCCTCCTTTGTCATCGCCTGCTCTGCACTGATCCTATTTGTGTATGTATGCATGCAAAGGTTACCGACCGTGCCCTTGAGGACCATGTTTTAATAGAAGAAAGGGACAAGTCTAACGTTCTCTCTCTCTCTCTCTCTCTCTCTCTCTCTCTCTCTCTCTCTCTCTCTCTCTCTCTCTCTCTCTCTCTCTGGTCGAGTTTAAATTAAAACAGTTCAGTTATGCTTAGGACAGTTTAGCCGCGCTGTTAATTTGTCCTATCAAAGTTTTCTAAGACCGTGGCAGATCACTATACTTTTTGAGTGAGTCGTCATTTGGATGCCATCCAGCCTACAGATGTCACATGCCTCAATTATCTGCTTAGCTCAAGATCATCACGAAGTTGAATGTGTGTCCGCCTTAGGGCGAGGCACCTCAAGGAGAGAACAATTTACACCTAAGACGTGGTATTCGAATGCCATTTTCACCTACAGGCATGCAGATCTTTCTTCGGTCTATAAAGTCCTGCGTAGTTACATACATGAGGGCCAGGACAAAGCGTTCACACAGAACTTAAGAAAATCGGGTGGGCACGGTCTGTGGACGAATTCACCCGAAGAGGCAGCGGGCGTCCAATCATCCTCAACCGAGGTGAGGAAACGTAACGTAAGTGTCCGTCATGCTCCAAAATATCTGCTAAAAAGCCAAGGCAGCGAAAGGAGAGAAACACTTGCCAGACAAGGCTGACTAGCTCGGCTAGCCATTTAAAATTCCAGCCGATTTTCTGCATTAAACGCTTCGACAATGAGAAGAAGACCAAGTTCTCCGAAACTTCAGCAACGTCCTGACTCTGTTCCAGCGAAATTCTTCTCTTTCTCAGACAAATAAAGGTTCCTTTTAGCCAACTGAATTTAAATAAACAAAACGACCTTAAGTAAAGGATGCCTTACCTCCGTTTTGCTTAGTTACTATATCCGCTATTAGAAGTGAAACAAGGGAACATGGTAAACAGGTCATCTTAGTTAAGTAATTAAGAGGTTTTGGCTTCAAGATCTCACACCAAATAGGAACTCGTTTGAAATCCAGATAAAGTAACTTCATGTTTTGTCACTATACGGCGGTTCTCAAAATCAAATAGCTATCAAAAGAAATCCCCAGCTAAGCAAAGGCTGCCCAGCGGTCAAAATTCGTGCTATCGCATTCATATCACACTTCAGCTGGTATTATGTTTACAATTCAGACAAGTAAAAAAGTACACGCCGTCAAACTCTGGGTTTATTACTGCTATCCAGGGGAATAGAAAAGCATAAGACAGTCTTGACGTGACGTTCGTTCCAATCAATTTTTCTCAGCCGGTCAGAAAATCGCCCCTCGGCGCATAACGCTCCACGCGCAAGGCTGGCTCGCCTATTGGCTCATCTGCGGAGCTGACGTCAGCACTCTCAAGGTCGCGCTAAAACTGCCTCGTGTCGGAGGATGCAGCGTTGCGCAGGCCTAGTGCCGGCTGCGTGGGCGACGCGACACGCACAAGCACCCGTTTTGTATAGTAATTAGTTACATTTTTGTCACCACGGCCAGTCACACAGATGACCGCGTTGCGCCTCATCGCTTTTAGTTCTTGCAAAGTGTCCCTCGTATAATCTTTAGGATATCGGCCCTAACATAACCCCATTACTTCGCGTCCCGACGGTGTTATAGCAACGATAACATAGTCATGTAGTAAGTGCCGCATGCCATCTAGGAAAATCATGAGGACAGAAAACTGAAGAAAAAGACTAGTTATCAGAAGTCTAGCATGAAAAGGTTGAAAACATACAAGGAGAACACAAATGGAGGCGATGGAAGTCTTAGATAGCATTCGGGAGCAGAAACCTAAGTTTAAAGTAACGGAGACAGTTAAGAATTGTATGTGCCTGTTAGACGTTGCAGTTTCGTACTTTCCTACTAGTTAATTTACCTCAGAGGTTCGCTTAGAGATCGACCAAAGTTAACCCGGATTGCACCGAAGCTAATAAACTGTGATTTGCATGAGCCTTAAATATAGAAACACTTGCCAGAGAGTCCGAGAGCGTAAGGTTTATTAGTAAACTTCGCTTGCAGTTTCAATGAAATGACAATCTAATTAGGACAGGTGAACAAGCATCTCTGTGCTGACACTTTCAGACTGAATTTCTAGACGTTAATTTTGTGTACTATCGGTTTTCTTGAAAGTCCTCAAATTGTGCACGGATTTATTATCCTGAAGAAGAGTACAAAAAAAATCTCCAAGGCCATGTGAGACTGGTTCTATTTTTAGGAAACCTTTAGCACTTTGAATGGCATCTCGGTCATTCTTTAACTGTGCTAGTCCTGTGCGGATGTAACGGAATGTATGCAGTAATGGCGAACGTGTGCTGAAGCACATTTCGAAACCTACTGCACGTAATAAGTGATTACAAAAAAGCCGTGGGTAGGATTATTTACAGTCCATTAGCAAGCGCTGAGGACCAGCAAACGTTGCTCCAGTTATGGCATGGACACATAAATCTCCTAGAAATATTTGTCTCAATTGCGTGAATCTAGAGGAGTGACCTAATTCTGCTAGTACGCTAGTAATCATGCCGAAAGTTCAGCTGAGCGTACCTTAACTAGGAGCTGTACTTGCTATTATTATTATTATTATTATTATTATTATTATTATTATTATTATTCGGTGAAGTTATAATCTATGAAAAACGCCAGAATTGTTAGCTTAAAACGAGCATCAATACTGCCCAAAAAAGAAAAGTGCCTTAGGATACAGTCACTTGTCCTTCTGAGGGCATCTTTCGAGATGGTTATTCAGTCGTTGAAAGTTCATTGACTTTTTCACCAGAGTGATTCGTTTTGTTTTTTTGCTGCCATATGCCTGTTATATCTCAGTCTAAGGGAGAGTTTGCGACAGCACACCGCAGTTCAAACAGCACCGCCAAACCTGGCCTACCTAAAAGATGACGAAGACACGATCACTGGATCGGTAGCTTTATTGGTCCTAGCATTTGAACTTGAACAGGAGTTCAGCATCAGAGACTGTTAGAGTTCAGCAACGTGTGAACATTTATAATGTTGTGCCGTGAGGGGGGAGATTACGTCAGTGGCTAGGCCTGGTTTGTGCTTCCTGGCCCACAGTGGTCCCCTTGCGGTGGTTACGATGTTTGTACTTCGCGGCGATGTGAGCTGCGCCACCGGGCTGAGTAGGCGACTTGCGTTATAACACGCAGACAAATCAATGTGTCTGTTGATAGGGTTGGTGTCCGACACCCAAGCCTCCAACAGTTCTCGCCCTGTCTTCTTGCCAGCTTGCGCCAATATCCGCGTGTTGGCGAAGTCGAACTCATGGCCTTCCTCCACTGTGTGAGTGGCGACTTGAGATAGTGGATCGCCTCTCCGAACGGCCCGTTTGTGCTCAAGTATTCGTGAGCTGAGACGTCGGCCTGTTTGGCTTGTGTAATGGCAAGGACAGTTGTCGCACGGGATTTTATAAACTGCGACCAACTGCTCACCTGCGTCTAGCCAATCCTTCATTTTCATGATTCCGCTACGCATGGTAGCCGCCGGATGATGGGCGATGCCCACACCTAACTCTGCCGCAATGTGTTCTGTGGCCTTGGACACATTTTTTATGTACGGTAGGGAGTTCCAACTTGTTGGTGTCTCTCTTCCGTTTGTCCATCGTGGGTGCGTGCGTATGCAACGGCTGATGAAACTATTTGGGTAGCCGTTCTTTGTCAACCGGTCCCCGCAATGCGCAGTTCTTGTATTCTTCCTTCGGGCTCGCTACGGTGCGTTTTTACCCGGTCGAAAAGCGACCTCACACAGCCCCGTTTGTGCACCATTGTGGGCCAGGCAGCACAAATCAGACCTAGCCACGAACGTAATCCCATCCCACAACGGCACAATAGTATAAATTTTCACACGTTACTGCACTATAACGGTCTCTGTTGATGAACTCCTCTTCGAATTCGAAAGCAAAGACTAATAAATCTACCGTCCCAGTGATCGTGTCTTAATCTTCTTTTAAAAAAGAAGCCGGGATGCGCATATTCTCCTCCATTCCTGGCTTTACCTGTTTCCTACCATGCACCACATCCCGTAACACTCTAGTTCTTCCCAACAGCAAGCATATATTCCTCTCTGCTATAGCTGGTATGGCGGGTGCCATGGTACATATCAGAAGATGCATATCTCACTTAAGTGGGGAAATATGTGCTTGGTGTACCCTGGAACACAAAAAGGGGGCCAGGTCGTGTGTGAGACGCACAAACGGATAATCTAACCCTCGCAACCATTACGCCCAGTCCCAGCACCAGGTAGCTGGCAGGTTCGAACAGTCCAGTGGCGCATGGACCAGGAAAGAGAGTGTTCAGAAGATTAAGGAGAAGAAGAAGAGGATGCTGATGCTGCTACTGCTGCTGCTGCTGCTGCTGCTGCTGCTACTGCTGCTGCTGATGCTACTGATGATGATGATGATGACGACGACGACGACGATGATGATGAGGATGATGATGATGATGATGATGATGACGACGACGACGACGATGATGATGATGATGATGATGATGATGATGATGATGATGATGATGATGATGATGATGATGATGATGATGATGATGATGATGATGATGATGATGATGATGATGATGATGATGATGATGATGATGATGATGATGCGATCACTGGGACAAGGCCAATAAACTTCATGTTCCAGTGATCGCATTTTCTTCTTTTGAACTGCTTCCTGGAACTCGCCCGTACGCTTCTATCAGCAGAAGACAGTGTTGGATCGAAACTGGAACGACACATCAGCGTATTCCTTACTACAATAAACCTGACGCGCCTTGAAACTATCTCGATGAACTAAAAGTCGTGGATTAGGAGGCTACCGACTGACCTGATAACTCAGTCCTCGTAATCGGTACTGTGTATATGGGAGGACAGGGTCGAGGACTGGGAATCAGACTCAATGGCTCCTTCTTAATGGGGCGTCTGTAGAACTCATGAACGTGAGATCCGATCCCTACCCCACTTCTACAAAAAAATTGGTACATTTTGCGGGGACCAGGTCGTGCGTAGCCTACGCAGACGGACTATTTACCCTTTTCAACCACTGCACTCGCACCCACCTTCGGTCGTCTTCATTGTTATGCCAGTGGAGAGTGATGAGTGACAGAGGTGAGAGTGCAGTAAATGTTGCGCGTGTCTCAGTATAAACTGGTCTGGTCGCAAGTCACTGGTGCTGGACCAGCCCTGTGGAGAACACGGTGGAAGACGTCGCTTTTGACGATCGAACTGTTATATCTTAGCACTAGCCCAGTAGGGCTTGTCATTTTAAGATGAAGAGGTCGTTTAGACGTACACTTGCGGCCGGCGCTCCATCCACCGGCTTACCTGTCTATGCCCCCTCTAGTAAGTCCACACTCGATCACTTTTTGCCTATACACGCCTCCAATAAGTGTATGAGCTATCTTCTGAGCAGCTGCTTATTGGTTCTTGGTGAGGCCACCACTGTTGTCTGACGAATCAAACATCGAGTTGAATTATCGAACCTCGCGTAGCAAGCAAGCTCTGACGTGCTCAGTTAAATTGAGCGCCTAAAACTGAACTGGTTTAAACAAGAAGCCTGTTGATGGCTGGAATGAGCACCGATAAAGACAAGGGAGAACGGAACTGCCATTTCTGCCAGCCAGTCCTACCCAAACCCAGGTTTACCCGCGTTTTTTGGTCATCGAGCTTTAGTAAGCCCAACTCTCTACCATTGAGTCATGGGCTCGTTATCCTATTTGACGAAAGGTGTATTTATGACTCACATCTCTTTAGAAGAATTTTCTCAAGGGAGGTCCTATTTAATCACAGGCCAGCCTTATGTCTGGTCTCAAGTGAAGTTCAGACGGTTTAAAGATATCAGAAGAAGTCCAAACGCCCCGGACTGACCCGACTGCCGGTTTCCTACCTAAGCCACCCATTTGGGCATTAAGTTCAGTCCAAAATATTAGAAACTGATCACTAACCCGAACGGCTTCCGGTCTGTTGTAACCGCACAGGTCTCATCGAAACCTGATCACGACACTCCACTAATGTTAGCGGTTTTACCCTACAACTGCTTAAATGAACTGTCTACTTTTATAGTCAGCAAGGAAACTGTTACAAGACAAGAATGAGAGCGGTACTTTCGCTACTTTCAGGCGAGGACCAGCAAGCATTCTAAAATGACACACAATCACCGGCTTCGTCTCATTTCTGTGTCTCTTTTCTCAGGGCGAACCGTTAGCCCGTCACAGCAAACGGACATGCCGACTTGTGGTTGTGCAGAGTGACGCATAGCCAAGATTTCTCTTCTCCGATGGTTTGTGACCGAAATAGCCTGCCTCCGCGGCCCTCCGTGCATGTGTGCACATCAGTTCGCTGCCGCGCGCCGTCGGTCAGTTCTGCCTGCCTGTCTGCACCAAACGGCTGCCTCGCATGAAACACGTTCAGGCCCTGTAACACTCTAAGTTCTTCGCCTCTCGTCTTAACCAGGCGTAAAGTGAGCCGCTTTGTCCGGAATTCGAGCCAGGCCTGAAACTGGCCGTGGCTGCTTCACTAATATCTCCCCTCTCCTCTTTTTTGCTTCGGGAATGAGCATACTGTTCAGATTATTGGCATCTTAAATTGTGCCCCATCTGCAATACACCTGTTAGCAAAGAAAGCTTCTGTTTGTGTGTCTTAGAGAAGTCTTAACAAAACGGTGTCTAAAATAAAACAACTTTGACCAACACTTCTCTCCGGTAGCGCTTCATTCGATCATTATAGCCACGCTTATAGGCAAATCAAAAAGGATACTACTTGTTCGTTCAGTCGAGAAGTCAACAGTATGGCTAGAACATAAATTTAAAGTTGATCTGCTCAGGGTTCTAGTTACCACTGAAATATTCCGTATCAAGTTAAGTAAAGTACCGACTAAAAAAAAATTTAGAATTATAATTATTTGGGCTTCGTGCTTGACTATGTTGATATAAACTCTGCCAATAACAGACCTGAGGTGACGGTCAAGGCATTTCCTAATCATATAGGCGTCTGCTACAAAATTTTTAAATGTCGCTGAATTACTAACCATGTCTACTGCTGCAACATCAATTCCTCTCCTTCGCTCTCTCTCTCTCTCTCTCTCTCTCTCTCTCTCTCTCTCTCTCTTTCTCTCTCTCTCTTCTTGCATTACATAGGAAATCTTAAGAAAAAAACTGGAGATTAATGTAGAGGCCACGGTCTTTCTCTCTTCCCTTACCGCGCCGGACCTCACCTGCAAATTACTGGACTTTAGGCCACACGTCGGCTACCGTAGTCTGCTTTCACCGGCCAAGTGGGTGTAGCCACCACACTCATCGTAGTTTCGCGGAGCCTTAAATGAGAAATGGGCGCCTGAATGGACCGAACACCACGTGCAAGTGGGTCTTTGTTTCAGCCGTCAACCGTGCCCCTAAAACGGACCGTGCGGCGGATGCACTAGACCAACACTGGGGCCAGACCAGGGCCAGGCAAGCAGTATTGGGGTGCGCACCCCTAACAAGCGCCACACATCGACTCGAGGGGTGTGACTGTGCGCCTAGGCGCAGGCTAACGCCACACCAACCACCTGCGTCCGATCCCGCCGCAGGCGTTCTTGCCTCTATCTTGCCACCAGGCCCAGGTGGGGGAGGAGGAGGAGGAGGAGGAGGAGGAGGAGGAGGAGGAGGAGAGTGTGGCAGATGCAACGCATGTCTACTATCAATATACACGGATTCGCGCGCAAGTCACCATCCCTACACCCATCCTGCTGTGGGTCACGTGGTGGTCATCGTCGGGAACGAAGTCTCGACTGTCAATCCATAATGTGCACAATCCCCATTTGGGCAGCCCGTATACCCCTTCAGCTGATATACAGAAATCATCCGTGGTATCGGTCACCCATGGTGTTAAGATCACGATTCTGATGCCAGCTTCCGACCCAATCATGATGAGACTGTTGTCATGTGGACGACCACTGAACGAAAATATGCAGACCGAGTCGCAATGTCGGTCGTTTTAACAACATATTATCTAGCCCGGAATTGACGAAAATTTATCATAAAGGAAATGGGTGTTTACAAACACAGGAAAAGTGTTAAAAACATTTCATGACGACATCAACTGCTACCTGTAGTTTTATGACATGAATATCTAGCAAAGTGTACACAGTAATTGCAAATTGTTCAAAAAATCCATATGGAAAGAGCAAAGTCATGATTCGGAATACACAGTCCAATCGATGAAAAGGGTCACTTGAATAACATGATAGAAAAAGAAATGAGGCCCGTTAACGCACAGAGGTGTGTGTAAATCCGATAACTGAGTATTAGCAGGATTAGTTCAGATTTGTCATATGGTCTAATTGTTTGCACAGGTCAAGTTCCCTCCTCTGCGTTAAAATACTTCCAGTTAGCGCAGTGTCTGAATACCTGTTCCCGAGCGAATAAGTATTTGGAAGGCTGTGGATGTAAATACATTGGCGAATTCAAAAGCATCTCGCAGCCACGTCATCAGAGTACTTGCCAAGACGGCTTTTAAAGTTGGAAAAAAGATGTTTCCTCTTCTTTCGGTAAACACCTCCTTGGTTGTGAACACTCTTGATCCAAAAAATAACCTTTAGAGTACTTGTTCGTCCACTAACGACCCAGACTCCGCGTTAGTTGGATGCTCTCTATATAGGGCGGGAGGAAAATCGACCTATTAAGGTAAACAGATCATATGGTGAATCTGAAATCTCCCTGGGAGTTAACAGTCCTTTGACTTACACAACCTGTTGTACGGTACTGTGCTCTTCCGCGTTTTTTTGAGTTAATTTTTTCATCGATAAGACTGAGTGTTCCGAACTACATATAACCTTGCTAGTTTTCCATTCATTTATGAAAAATTTAACCTGTTGTACATTGATTGCGGAGTATCCATGATTGCCTCCCACACACAACAGATCACGCGGAAGTTGCGTTGGCCCAACGTGGGGTCACGTGTTATTTGGCTACTCACCCATGACGAATGCCATACATAGGGCTGGGCTGGCACGCCTGGGTGCAGGCATACGTCACGCCAGTCGCCTGCACCCGATCTCCCCTCCGATCTTTTTGACTTTCTTATGATACCGGACTTAGGTGGATGAGGGAGAGAGTGCGGCGAACGCGGCACAAGTCTACTCTTGCTATAAACTTATTCACGTGCAAGTCACCGTCCCCGCTGTGGCGCACACAGTGGGCAACGTCAGCAACGACGGTCGAACTGTTGTCGGTTATCCATGTTATGAAACGGCAACTATCAGTTGGTAAGCCATCGTAAACGTCTTCTTAGTATCCTTAAACCCTACTGTTTGTACTTGTTTTGAAATTATCAATGTTATATTCTCCACCAGTCTGAGAGGCATTTCTATTTTATGAAGAGAACAGGGCTGTAATCCGACTGACCCTCATACACGATGGTTTATCGGAACATTTACTGATTTCCCTACTGAACCAACGAAAGGGGACGGAAGATAAAATAGTGGATTTCTTCCCTTGGAGTTCTAAAGAGCACATTTCTGAGCTGCATATCTGATCACCAGTTTGTGAGATAGTGATTATTCTGTCCTGTTTTACTGCGTCCACCTGCTGCCTAGGGGAATAAGATGCACCAGAGTAAAATTACGCCATTGATTCTGGACGAGTGGTGTCTTTATGTCAGTGTTGATGT